GCGTTTTGTTTGTACAATTTTGAAACGATCAGTACTAGGTCCATTTTTCGTTTTGTGTCGGCTAAAATATAGTTTTAGGTTAGAATAGTTTGGGTTAGGAATCCTAACTTAGTATAGACAAGGTGTCTTAGTAAATTAGGTTGTTTTATAATAATTAAGGTTGCTTACTTGTATTTTATGTTTTCTTTTTGGTCTTAAAGGCTTGTTGTTAAAAACTATTAAAGCGGCAAGGTCACAAACTTCAGATTCGATGTCATGAACTGTCACCGTTCATTTGTGGGTTTGTTCCATAGATAAGGGATAAGTTGGGTGGGCGGGGGGGTTAGTTAGATAGGCAACTTAGTATTAAAGTTTTGTTCCGTGACTACTGCGCCATCTAGCGGGTGTAGTCAAAAAGAGATATTCAAATTATTGGTGGCTGAATTGTATTATTTTGTTATCTCCAATATATAAATAATTTTAATATTTTTCTAGTGAAAGTTAAAAGAGGAATAATAAAACTACATTTTTGTAATTATTATTTTATTTTCCAAAGTTAAATACATATACTTAGACGCAAATGTTCAAAACACAACTTAAAATTACTCTACATCAGTCAATTAACTATAAACGTATCTAATAGAGGCAAATAAGTTTATCTAATTATTTCATTCCTAATCTAATTAATTTATAAGGTAAAATATATTTATAAAAATTAAAAACTATACAAATTTCAAGACTTACTGCTTAGAGGCAAATTTACATTTTCAAATTACACCCCGCGGGTGATTTTAACCCTTTTATGAAAATTTTTAAAGTTTAAAATGATTTTTTTTGAGAATATTTTATAAAATATTATAACCATATTTTGTACCATAGTTGAAATATTATCACAAAAATGCATTTTAAAGAATGGTTATAATTTTCTAACATAATTTTTCAAAATTATATATAAAGCCTAGATATAGGTATCCTTACATAAGATTAAAAATAATATAAAAAAACTAGACATACCTCATCGTTTTTGGAAAATCGATGCATTTTTACCCTATCTCCCCTGCTTTTGCACTCGTTCACAACATGAATAAACCATAATAATTAATATGTTACACAATATAAACTTAAAAGGTTATAAGGACACAAATTTAACACACACTTAAAAGTTTACAAAATGAAGTTATTTTTGAAAAGCTCATGTCTAATTATAATTATTATAAAAACTGTCATTAAGACAACGGTAGTCTCGGTGACAAAAACAACTTTGGCGACATTAGCGCCTCTGGCGAGTGTAGTCAAAACTTCCCAGCGGACAACCTTTTGTACAGTAAAGATGCACAACCATGGTTTGTTCCGCAATCTTCGTTTTAGGGTTTTGATGTTTTTTAATGGTTATCTGGTTTTTCTTCTTTTTCCTGAGTGTGTTGGCCTTTTTGGCGTTATTTGGTTGAATTCACTATGCTATTTAAGTCTAGTCACTGGACTAGACTCTAGTGCTATTACAGTAAATTGTTATTTAGTACATTGGTAACATTGGGTCGCGGCGTCGGCGCACTCAGGGTTGTAGATTGTGCTAGAGGCTTTTAGACTGGAGTGGGGAGGTCGACGGCGTCTTTGCCAATGTGCTTGCTGAAGACGATCTGTGACGTCTAAAGAAAATTTTATTACGATCTGTGAAGTAATTAGTTATTAGGAATAACTTATTTCGTACTATAAATACTGGTAGTTATCGCACGTAGTAAAAATAGAAATAGATGGCCTCTTTTTGGGTTTTTTTTTTAAAGTAGCATGGTGAGTTCAATCAAATTAATTTTCCATGATCCTTGATTATCTAAGTCATCATATCTCATAGATCGTTGCATAGTAACCCAACGGTGTATGGACAGTTGCTTCACCTGTTGATGGTCATATTAGGGGCCGATTAGTTATGTTTTATTGAAAAAACCGAATAAACTTCGTAAGTACATATTTTTTGTTTGGAAATAATATTCATTCGATTTATTTTTCAATTAGGGTTTTCCCACCGGGGCAAGTTTTCCCACAAGTTTTCTTGAATACATATTGTAGGACAGAAATTCTGTCACAGGATGAATCTGCGTAGCTGTTGGTTTCCTGCATCGTGCTATCTGCCTTCTTAGACACAAGGGTGGGTATAAACGCAAGTTCAAACCACTGAACGCGGGAACCCATGGTCATACGGATTTCACCCATGGTTGGACGGAATACATCGAGCTTAAACTAGGCATGTCAGGATTTTTTTTATGGATATGGACGATAGGAGTCAACAGGTTTTAATGAACATTTTTTTTTTATCAGTAATATTTTTTTTACCACATCACTGCAAAGCAGTACATTATGAAACATTAGTATATATTTTATTTTATCGTGTAAACCAATAGCTATTCGGTACAAATTTTATTAATTTTGAAATAAGCATTTTGATAGTAAATCAAGTTACAATATAAACAGGTAATTATTTAAGTACTCTTGAAATAAACATTGTGATAGTAAATTAAAGTTAAAATATAAGTAAGCAACTAATTTTGGAGTTTAACTTTTTGTCCACGACCATAGGTTATATTACTCTATTAAGTTGTGGTGGCGCCCAGGCCAAAGTGTAAATATGAGGAATAAAAACCCACAGACCTATGCTCTCAGACACGAGAGCTGCCGGAGTATATAACCCCCTTGTTGGTTATACACCATACCTGTCTTGATTTTGAAGTCATAACCGTGGTTTATAGTCTCAACTATACGTAGGATTTGCGGTTCGGTGGATAATTTTGTCCTGAATCCGAATTGCTCGTCCGGGAGCAAACCTTTGTTTTCTATCTCCTCTTCAAGCCGAATTTTAATGATTTTTTCCAGTAGTTTCGCCAGTGTCGGGAGCAGCGAGATGGGCCTGTAATTCTCCGGCAGCCGGCGAGCCTTCTTAGCTTTAGGTAGTAGGATTACTTGAGCTTTTTTCCAGTTGGATGGGAAGTGCATCGTTTGTAAAAACTCCATTGGCCAGTAGAGTCAGGTTATCTATCATGGAACCGGGTAAATGTTTTAGTGCCAAGTTGGTGATGGTGTCCTCACCAGGAGCGACCTTGTTCCGAAGATTATTTATTAAGTTTTGGACGAAATTAGGTGTGACGGGTCGGATAGTTTCATGGTAATCGTCATTTATAAATTCGTTCACGAACTAAAGCATTCTTTGGTTCTCCTCTTCGTGCCTTTGCAGCGGTGGATTGTCCGAAAATTGGGATTCAAGGTGTACGGCAAAGCACTCAGCCTTTTCCTGTGATTCGTAGAGGAGGCCGTTTGGGCCCTGAATGGGTTGGTTTTGTGGTGGATCCGGGTTTTTCATGCTCCTGATAATCTTCCATAAGTCGTTGTTATTAGCGGGGTCCAATCTTATAAGAGTTTCCTCCCATTTGGCGTTTCTATGGGCCGGTAAAGCTCTTTTTACGTTGCTCGCAAGGCAGTTATAAGCTCTTCTGTCTGCTGGGTTAAGCGTGCGTTCAGCACGTTTCTTTGCCTGCCTTTTATCTCGAATGAGGAGCTTGATATCGAGCGGAATGGCATAATGGCATATGGAGGGTACCGTTCTTTCGAAGGTTGAATTTAGGAGAGCTTGATGGATTTGGTTAGTTATAGAGTCGGCCAGAGTGTCCACCATCTCCGGAGTAGTTGGTGGAGGAATCGGGGGGCATTTGCAGCTAAAATGCCGTTGTATTTTTGCCAGATGGTTCTTCGGATTGTTTGCCGGGGTTTTGGTGGTCTCAGGGGGCATAAATAAAAAAAGAACTGGGCTGTGATCTGAGGTAGATCCCGTGATAGTAGATGCCATAATTTCTAGTGGATAATTCTTGATGATGGCAATGTCCAAAACGTCTGGGAGGTGGTGAATTCGAGAGTATGTAGGGTCCTCAGGGCCCAGAATATCCCAAGCCGAGTCTGGGGCCAGGTTGAAAAGCTTGCTGCCGTAACGGTTGGTGGAGAGGCTATTCCACGTGGGGTGTTTAGCATTAAAATCGCCGGCAAGAAGTGTGGACAGGGCGGAAAGAAAGTTATTTTCTGGAAAACGATGGCCGGGAGGAAGGTAACCGACCGAAACTTTAAGGCAAAGTTAGTCTCAACGTAGACAGCGGCATACTCAAGCGTTGAGTTTGGCGGGTCAGGGCATGAGCAGTGTGGAATAGCGTTCCTGACTAAGATGAGGACACCGCCGCCCCCTTCTTGAGACGGCCGCGGTTTGCTGTATACATGGTACCCGGAAAACTTTGGGATAACATTAGTTCTAATTTTTGTTTCGATGATTAGCATAACATCGGGCTGTTGTTCTGCAATTAAGGCTTCCAGTTCTGGTTTTCTTCCTTTAATGCCGTTGACATTCCACAGCATGACGTCCAGCGATGGAGCTTTTTGATTTTGGGGCATTAGCTGGTTCGTGAGGCGAAGGACTTGGTTAGGAATTTAATAGATTCGTCTTGAGTCTTGAATTGAGCGTCCATTTTGGTGGTTAGGCCGTTTATTAAGGTGATGAGTGTTGCCAGAAGTATAGAAAGGTCAGGAGCTAGATTGGGGTTTGGCTGTTGAGAAGCTGGAGCTGGAAATGGGGCTGAGAATGGGTTTAGCGCTTGACTGTAGGACTTATCTTGAGTGTTTTTTGTTAGAGGTGGAGTTTGATTGTTCAGCAGGCTGTTGAGCTGTGGGGGCAGGTTTTATATTTGGGTTTTTGACACAAATGGGTGCGTTAGCAGTTAGCGGGCCGCCGCAGTTAGCGCACTTTGGGGTGACCTCACGTGGCTTAGTGCATTCCCAAGATTGATGGCGCACTTGGTTTGAGCGTGCCCAAATTTCTGGCAACGGTAGCATTGTGTTATGGTATTTTTACGCTTCAGAGGCTCAACTTTGATCTTGATTCTGCACACATAGGCCAGGTTAAAGATGCGGTCCTCTTCAGGAGGAACCTTAACCAAGACAAGTGGCATTTCCGTCTTACTTTGTCCTCTGCGCATTCTGATGACTGACATTCTTTAATGTCTATCTATAATCACAGCTTGAACCATGCTTTCTTCGGGGAGCTGGTAAGTATGGTACTCTTCACCATTTTCTGAAAGGAATTTCGTGATGGCCCTGTAGTCGTCACTAGTATCGGGAAAATTTTTTACTCCATCCTGAATATTCGTGGCTCTGGAAAAAGAATGACCTGCTGCCGTGATGGCACCAGATACCATAGTCCATCTAGTCTTGTTACGTAGTATAATTGGAGGTATTTTATCCTGTTTAGGAGGGATTTGAGCCTGTGGTGTATTTGACGATGTGGCCAGAGTAGGTTGGGCAGGTGGAGCGTAGACGTTATTTGCACTGGGACTCGGAATATTGCAGGTTTGTGGTCTTGGCCGGGCTGGTGGAGGCTTTAAAACCGGGGGATATATGCTGGATATATGCTGGTGCCAGGGGTGAGTCGTGAGTTGGCAGTGGCGGAAAATCATCAGGAACATCGTGAGACGCTTTTGGAGTAGCGGGATGTACAATTTCCTCCATTGGGACAGCGCTAGGTTTTGTACTGGATGGAAGAGAATTGTTGTTTCCGCTTACAGGGTTTTTCTGGGGAGTCAATATCGATAGCCAGGTTTGAGGAAGCTTTACCGAGCTCTGTGCTTTTCAGAGAGATGAAATTGGCGTTGAGAATTTTAAGCTGAATTTCAAGCTGACGTTGGAGTGAAGTTATTTTCTCCGATTGATTGGATAATTGGGCTGTGAAACTTTCAACCATGCCTATTAGCCTGGCATTTTCACGCTGGAGGCGCACTTCCTCTGGGCTTGGCTTGGGGTCATGGTTATGAGACTTTTGTTGATTTTCGTCTCCTGCATGGAGCAGCTGGTTGATTTTAGACTTAATATTTGGAGAAAGATCGGATTTGGCTTTCTCGAGCGGATTTTTAGCTACCGTATTTGATTTATCAAGCTCCTTATCTTTCTCTTTTTTGTTTTTTTTTGAGGATTTTGGGCGGTCTGGTTTGATATTTGTTGAAATTTGGGGTTTATTGTCTTTAGTAGGGGTACGGCTAATTTTCTTAGATTTGTCAAATCCAGAAGCGTTAACATTGGGAAAAAAGAGTGCAACAGGAGGAATTGGCGCTGGTTTTATGGGGGAAGTTGATGTTTTTTCAGCCATTTTATGACAGTTTGAGAAAATAAATAGATTGGGCAGCGTAGTTGGTCACTTGGAAGTGACCGAAACACTTAAAAAGATGTTTGGAAAGGAACAAGAAGCTCAGGAGCAAGAGTTGCATCTAATGATTTAGCCGAAAACGTGCACAAGGTATATATAGTAGGGGCGTGGCCTGGTGTTTGCTATAAGAATGAAAATCGGCCTTTGACCGTAGCAAACCCTTCGCAGCAGCCGAAGGCTACACAACTCGATTTTTGGACGAACAACGACACTTATGTGTAAAGCGTGGTATTTGATAGGGTACAAATATGACAAACAGTATAAATAAGTAGGAAACGCAGAATAAAAATGTAAATGGACAGGGACAGACATTTATCACTAACCTCGTGCACTGTACAACAAAATAACAACGAATAAACAAAATCACGGTGTATAAACAAAAAACGAAGCATAAAGGGGGACCGACGCCTACTCAGTTCAGCGTCGGTGTATCCTATCTGCTCGAATTCACGATACGATATGATGATATGATATGTCCAATGGACATTGTCCATCGCTGCTGGCCCTTCAGTGCCACCCGTGTCTGGCACACAATATGGATATCCCTGTGGTCACTGAGGTTTTCCTCTTCCGACACGGTCCACTCGACTCCTTTGGCGTACAATTCCGGTGCCAGTACCGCTAGGGCATCCATCAGCCGCCTGCCCCTCTCGTCTTCCTGTGGGCCACCCCACAGTGGGGATTTGGCGTTGAAATCCCCGCATAGCATTACTTTAGCAGCTGCGGGCCTGCTGACGATATCCTGCAGTCTACCCAGGAATGCATCGAATTCCTCCAGGGACACATTGGACGCACATAACCTATTACTATGTGCACACTCCCTACTCGGGCCCTCAGCAATCCCTCCGCCCGCTTCAGATCGCTCAACCTGTTTTCACCACAGGCTATCATAGCGACGTCCTCGCTCATGTCAGGCTCCGATATTACCAGCACGTCCACCCTTTTCTGCTCTGCCGTTTGCAGGGACAGATCCCAGGCCTCCCGGCTTCTATTTTGGTTCACCTGCATGACTGATAACCTGCTAGTCCCCCGCTTATCTCCGGTCGTCTCTACCTCGTTGTGGCTGAGTGCTGAGCGGGGGGCTGCCGAAAATCCTGAGCTTCCTTAGTCGCCTCGTCTATCCCCTTCTCTGCTCCGGTCGCTGTGGGGATGGTGCATTCGCTCGTCCTATGCCCATCCCTGCCGCACACTTCTTGCTGCCCTTGCATTCCCTCGCCTTGTGACCTGCCTTCCCACACCGGAAACAGCACATGGATCTGTCAGGGCCCCTGCATTCCGATGCCCGATGTCCAATCTCCTGGCATTTGTAGCATCCGCTATCCTCCAATATTTTCCTGACCCTACATATGACCGGCCCTACTCTGATGCGCCCCAGCTCCACCAGCCTATCAATAGCAGGCTTGCTGGCTGTGAAGCGCGCGGCCTGTGTTTTCCCATACGTGGCTCTCATGGCTATCATCGTCAGCCCAGCTTTTGCCGCCTCCGCTCCCAGAGCCACTCTAAGTGCCTCTCCTGCCTCCTCCTTCGTGGCCAGTGCGCCATGCCCAACACCTCAGCTCCTCCAGAGTCCCTGACGGCCCTAGCTTTCAAGGATTGCAGCCTCTCCACCAGTTTGGATGCCGTTTCCTATTTTGTAAGCTTCCTTACCTCCCTCAGCGTCTCCTCATATGGTATGATATCCTTAGTTAGTAGTAATTGCATCCCTAGCTGAATTGTCCTTTTTAAACCCGTTCTGGTGGTGAGAAATAATCTTATGTGTTTTTAAATAGCTGTCTAGTCTTGTTTTTAACGATGATGATGAAAATTTTAGTAATATTTGTTATTAAAGATATGTTTGTTGACCTTTTTAAATATGGGGATTATTATTGTTTTATGTTTTAAAAGATTTAGGGCAGATGCCGGTTGCAAATATATTATTAATTAATCTGGAAAGAGGAGCTGCAATGCAGTCTGAAATTGGTTTAATGGTGTCTACACTAATGTTATCAATACCAACCGTTTTTTGTTTTTATTATTTTTTTAATATTTATTTAATTTCTTTGGATAGGTAGGTATAACAAACATGGTATTGTTACGCGTTAAATGGTTTTCTTTAAACTCCTTTACATCCTTTATTTTATTTGCCAATTTATCTCCCATATTAATGTAATGGTTGTTAAATATATTTCAGTTTTTTATGTTGCTCTCCAAAGAATTATTATTGTATATTGTTGTGTGCTTGATTATTTTTTATTTTCCCACAACTTTTTATTGTCTGTGCTAAGATTAATTTTTTTTTTTAAATAATCATGTTTAGCCTTATTTATTAGTTTATTTAATTGTTTTTTGTACAAATTGTATTCCATTATTAAATTTTGATCGTTTGTTCCGTAATAAGAAACTAAAAGTTTGTCATGGTGGTTTATAAAATTTATTAGGCCTGCGGTTATCCACGGTTTATAAACCGTGGATAACCGCAGGTTATGACAAACTTTTAGTTTGGTTAGTCATGGTGGTTTATAGAATGTATTAGGCCTGCGGTTATGACAAACTTTTAGTTTCTTATTACAGAACAAACGATAAAAATTTAAAAATGGAATACAATTTGTACGTATGCGTTTGTATTAATTAGTTTTTTTGTGTTCGATTCAACATCTCCAAGTCCCAGTTTATATTATTTAAATACTGATTTAATCTTTTAAAATTTATTTGTTTAACATATTTGTGAGCAATTTTGTTATTTTATTTCTTTACTTAATATAAATTGGTCTGCTATTGGGTGATATGTGATGTGTGTATTAATTATTAATAGTTGATTTTAGAAATACCTATACCAACATTAGTTCTTGCAAATTAATAAAAATACAAACTACTTCTAGCACTAGCTCTTGGAACTAAAAGAATAAATTTTGACAGAAAGTCAGGGCAATCAATCTTAAGATCTTATTGTGAAATAAGTTGAACAAAAATTTAAGGAATAAAATATCTGGGCGTTGCTTTAACGAAGGTACATTAAACAATAGCGAGTTACACTATTTATTAACTAAATAAAACCATATTCAGCCATAAAGTTTAGATATTCACTAACAATATTATTTTACTCTAATAGATTATTATTTTGATCACCAGCGAAAATATCTATATACCTATAGGTATACCAACTCTCTTAAAATAAAATAGCAGTAGTAGTCAAAATTCTACTATTTGAATTAGTACTAGCATTGTTTTATTTTATTTATTTTTATTTTTTACTACTTAAATAGTTAAATTTTGACTAATTTAAGATAAGTCACCATCTTTGACTGTTTCTAAGAGTAAAAAGTTACTAATTTATTTAATCGTTTTTAATTCCTGCGGCGAACAACGAATTATTGTTACAGTTAAATGCATGTAGGATCCATGGGTTAAATGGCCCATAAAACAAACAAAAAAGCAAAAAGTTTAGCTTAAAACAGCAACACAAAAAAGATATTTAAATTTAAAATATTATTAACAATATTAATTGACAGATATAACTTATTTTTATAAAAGTAGCCAGCGGTAAGACTTGCGCTTGACAAGCAACCGACCCGAGTTCAAACCCTGGCTGGATATAAAGTTTTTAAATTTAAATCTACTAATTTGACTATTTCTATATCTTTGCTTTTAATAGTATATTCTGTAACAAGTTTGGAATACGGCATATTCCACTAGTCTGAAACACGTTTGGAATTGCATATTCCGCTCTCGTCGAGCGGAATATGCTGTATTCCAAACTTGTTACAGACACAGCAAACGGAAAATTATAGAAGTGTATAGGATGACTCCGCGTTTGAATATCAAATCTTAAAGTTTTATCATAACTGTATTGAATCGTGCTTTGTTTTTATATTTTTCGGCTCTATACCTATGCACGACTATATTTAAAGTCAAACTCAATGGTGTCTTACAAGATACATTATTTTGATTTTCTATATTCAACAGAGAGGTAGAAACTCGACCCTGTCGAATGGTGCAGTCATTTATGTCTCTAGAAATTATTAAAAAAGGGTTCAGTCCAATGGTGCAGCAACTTCGAATTCCTATTCTCCTCAGAGACATAGAAACTCAAGCTTTTCGAATTTTACTGGCAATGATTTTCGTTAATGTCCCCGAGAATTATTCAAAAACAGCGCAATGCAATATGGCAACGGTTTCGACTTCTCTTTACTCTACCAAGTTATAGAAACTGGAGTCTCTCTAATACTGTTCTAGTCAATATTTCTGAGAGTATAAAAAGAGGGTGTAATATTGCAAGAAGTTTTGATC